CACTGCAGAAAGTTTTCAGTCGTAAAAGCATCCCTCAGTTCATCCCTTTCCTAGCAACAGCTCAATGGTAATTTCCCTTCATATTAGGTAGAGTAGCCAGCCCTTCTCTTCAGTCTTGTGTGACTAAACGAGCCAACGAGGACAGGGGCCCAGGCTGTAGAGCTTCCTCCTCGAGGAGGCATACAGAGCTAAAGATGCAGAGGAAGAATAGGAATCTACCCAGTTAATCCTTTGCAAAGACTTGCTTGATTTCAAAGGCAGCAGAATTAGGCCTCTGCAAAGGTCAAGGTCCCCAGAATTGCTTTTCTCTGGGGGGCCTTTTGGACGACTTCTGTGCTGTGACACACTGCTTGAGTAGGTGTCATAATCAGTCCCTAAGCAGACACCACTGTGCAGTGAAGCCTGTTAATATAGGTGACTGAAATTCAAGATATTTTGACTGCTCAAGGAGGTGGCCACATGAAGTAGCATGACCACAGGAAAAAGAAAAGAAAAGAAAAGAAAAAAAAAGGTAGAACTTGAGGATCATTTTCCTCTCTGTGTTGCCATGTCACTTTTCCTGATGTGGCCCCTTACCTCCTGTGTGACACCTGTGGCTAAGGTGTTGTCATGTTTCTGGTATGCTGACATATCATTTGACTGCCTTCCTCTGCATTCTTGTAATTAACTCCTAATATTAAAGCACTTTCCATCTCTGGATTCCTCAGCAAGCTGATTGAAAGGTGATTTAATTGCACAGCATTGCCAAGAAACATGTTAGGTGATTGCTGGCTTTAGTAAGAAGTAATGTGAAGGTAATAGGAGATATCACAGGGACTAAGATTCTGCTGGCCATTAGCAGAGGTGACTTCAAAAGGCAAATGATAATTAGTATAGATTTCTCTGAAACAAGTTTCCATCTGCTGCTAGTCACTGGATTTTGAGCTGCTCTCCTATTAAGGATTTGCATGTATGTTCCTGGGTTCTCAGTGAAAAGGACACTTAGGGGAAAAGGGTATAAATCAACAAATAACTATGTAACCTGTAGAAATATAAATCTATGTAGATTAATCCGTGTTTCCTAAATTGCATACTAGATTGTAATTCAATCAAAGGGTAGGGGTCTTGTGACGTTTATGAACATTTATGGATAGTTTGAGCACTCAGATTAAATGTCAAACCTGGTATTCAGTTTAGAATCATGTATTATTGTTATTCATTAATATATAAAAACAGCAATTATATCCACTAAAATCCTCAATTTAATTTTGCTGTAATCTGTCTCTGCTGTGTCAGAGATGAGTGCAGCCTCTTTGCCCCCTCAGAGCATTTAAAGGGCTCCACTGAATTTCAGCTGAGTCTGCTCTTTCCCTGCATTCACCCAGTATGGCACTGGCTCCATTTGACCCCCTCTGAACTGAGGAATTCTCTAGTAAATTATTTTCTTTACCTTCCATTGGGATTAAATTTTAGTTTAGATAGCAGGTATAGTGCATTCAGAAGGGGAGGGAAAACAAGACTGCATCTTAGATCCAATTCACTGAGTAGATTACATATGATAAAGCTGTGCCCTTCACTGGTTCATGTCAATAAAGGGTGAAAATGTTTCCAGGCAGACCAGTCGTTTTAGGATTATCTGAATCTGTTGTCAGTCCTTCAAGCCTACTTCTTCCCAATCTGGGGCTGAAGGAATGCTCACCTTGGTAGTGCAGTATATCAGAGAGATCCTAAATCACTTTGCAAAAATGGAGCAGAATTGCACTTGAAGCAGGTTAACTCAAGCCATTTAGTGAATAAATTCCAAGAAGCAACTGAATGCCAATTGCAAAAATGTCTTTGGCACCTAAGAAATTAATTTTATTGAAAGAAAGTAATGCTTAAGCTAACAAAGGTAAAATATTCTCAAGTCCCTGCATGGTTTACAGCCCAAATTTCACTCATTTCGGAGGACTTTGACTTGAATGCCTCAGATGGTTTTGAAAATTGTAGGTAGCTTCATAAATCTGTTATCTGCTCATATAATATAACTCATACCACTGTCTTTCACCATCTCAACTCCCCATAAATAGAGATTCTTCAGTGTTTGGGAACCTTATTCTCATTAAACTCAGGGGGGACTAGATTCCTAAATAGCCTTAACATTCAGACCTTGCTTGTCTTTTAGTCTTTGTGATTTAAATAAAATTTATTCATGCAGCAAAGAAAGTAAGCAGAATCTGGCCACAATGAAGCAAGGACAGGCTTAAGTTTAGCCCTTGGTTATTCTGTCCAATGGCCAAAACAGCTTCCAAGTAATAATGATTCATTAACACTTGGAATTCAATATGGAAAAATCAGTGGATTCCATTTGTCCATTCCACCCAACAAAGCTATACTGAATTGAAAACAAACAACATAAGTAGAGACAGGTTACTATTCTGCTTGTAACAGAGCGACCTGGAGAAAACGGTCAGCTTTCTTAGACTGCATTTTCATATGTTGTTATATAATAATATATCTTGAAGAAATCTACTGTGTTAATCTAATGTAATTAGGTTAAATGTCTCTAGTGAACAACAGTGCCATATCGTAAAATGTTTCACCCCAGCATTTTAATGGTTCAGATTCTACTCATGGTTTCAATTAAGTTAGCATGATTGCACAGGGCAGTGAGAACAGGATTTGGCCCACTTCTCTCCCGCATACGTGTTCTGCAGTTATCTAACCTGGAATGAATCATAGCTTCCTCAGACACATCTTGTTTTTCCAGTACTTTACAGGGAAAGTTTTGTTTTCATATATTTTATTTTGAACAAAACTGGTAATCAAGTGTCCAGACCAATTGCAATCATTTAAAAAATTACGGTGTTTCAGTTCTGGTGATTTGCCAGATTCTGCTTTGCAGCTTCTGGTATATTGTGCCTGTCTAAAATTACCCTACAGTTTTAATTAGGCACAACAATCTCGTTCACTTCTTTCAGCAAATTTGGTGGTAATGTTGGTTTAAGTCATTACTCAGCACCTCCAGAATCTCAGGCTGTTATTTGTAGAATTCTTTGGCATCCATGTTGTCAAAGTTGCTTGACGTTTTCCCTTAAGAGACCTTGTTTTATGTTGCTTATAACAGAGCCAAGCTCTAACCACTCAGCCTAAAATTTTCCATTCTCTGGGGTTTTTTTCCCATACTGGATGCCTCCCACTTTTTTTTTTGTTTTACCTTTTTTTTCTTCCCTTTTTTTTTTTAATTTTTTTTTTTTTAACTCTGGGCCTCCAAGGCACATTCTTTGGCTCAGATCTCTTGTCTCAGGTTCTTCCTTGGTTTGCAGCTCACAGTCCCATCTGCCCAGAACCCTGAAAGAAATACTACCCAACTACCAGCCACTAGCAGTCCTTCACATATCATTTATTACAGATGAGCCTATAGGCTTCCATGGTTAAATCTTCAGGAGCAATGTAAAGGAGAATAAGAGATATGTGCTTAGCAGTGGAGATTTTTCTTCCAACAGGAGAACCTCCTCCTTCCAGTTTATTAGAATAATGAATTCTTCAAAGTAAGATAGTAACCTTCTCTCCACCAGCCTGATTTTGCCCTTCCTTTCATTTTATGTCATTTCAGCTTTTCAGTCTGGGCAGAATCCATCCTGTTATCTATCTCATGCATGTGAGAACAGTCATCCATGTGGGATCAGTCAGCTTCTTTAAAGAGAAATTTGCAGTTAAACAGGGCGTCTCTGGGTGGCCTATCTGAAGGATGCTGTAAGCATCTTGCTTCCTGCTCTGCAGCTTTCATGATTCTCCCTGCTCTTTGCTCTGTTTCCTCCACCTCCCTTGCAGATGACCAACCACTAGATATGCAAAAATGCTTTCTCTCACACTTTCCTCTACCAGGAGCATAAGCCTCACAAATAGTTGCTACAACTCTGAACAAATTTTCTGCCTGCCTTTCCTCTCTCTGCTGTGAGAGCTCCCTTTTCCTTCACTGTCTCAAGTCAGGTTTGTATTTCTCTATCTCTCCCTGTAACTAGAGAGGAAACAGTAGTTGAGGCCATGTCTTAAGTACTGTAGCACAGACATGGGTCTCATGGTCTTTGTCCACTGTGCTCCTCATCCCCTGATAGCAGCCTTATGGAGAGCTCTGTCTCGTCTGTCTACCAAAGTTTTGTCTCAGCTTGGTGAAGGGAAGCCGGTACAGGACTGATTTGTAGCTCTGAACATTTGGGGAGCATCTGCCTTTGTTTATTGTGTGTCCAACAGGAGTATATCTTCTTGTTACAGTTCAGAGCATCAGGCTTTGATTAATATTGTTTGATTGCTTCATCCCAGGTTAATATATTTTGGAAACAAATATGGAAATAGATAGGTTGACAATAAACTTAGATACTCCATAGCAGACCTGTGATCTACCAAAAGTTTGCAGTCCTTTAGCCATTCCACTTTCATGCAGTCATTTTTTATTTAGGTTAACAAATCAATCAAGTCCAAAAAGTCCTATGTTGACAGAAGGAACTAAGACAACACAATTTTTCTGTGCAGCTATCAGCTGTGATGTAAGCATTCTCAGCCCTAATAATAAGCCTAACCCCTCTTCTGTGAAGGTCAGGATCAAGAAGGCGAGTTCTGTTTCAGAATCCTGTATATCTGGCATGACTGGTGAGAAGGATGCCATTCAAGTCTGGCAGTGTTTTTGAGATAAGAGCATTTGTCCATAGGAGCCACAAGCCTATTTCACGGAGACTGTTGAAAGGCCACCAGAGAATATTTAGTCTTTGCTGGCTTGGAATTATCCCAGGACTGAAAGGTTCCAGAGCCACTACCAGTTTTCTCAGCTACATAGTTTTGGGGTCAGGTAGTTTCAAATCGTTCAAGATCTATGTAGTTTTTGAATTTAAAACACTGGTTTTGCTTTTTTTTTTTCCTCTTCTGTGGGAATTGTCACCGTCTGTAAGTCTCCTCAATGCCAGTTTTATATTGGTGTATTGGTATAATTTAGTGTCCTTATTTTAACTTGATTTCCTTTTTTTCTTTCTCCCTTTTCTTTTCAGATCACTCACAATCAGATTGTGGCCTTTTTCTGAAGGAACCATTTCTGTATCTTACGTAAGTATTTATACCAAACATTTTATACTTGTTGTGTATTTTCTTCAAGTTCCATCAAAGTTAGCCCAGGGCCCTTGTAAACTTTCCTGTTGCTTCCCATGGCCACAGGACTCAATACTGAGTTTTCTTCTAATGCAGTCGAAGATTTTGATGCAGTGTCACCTTATGGGACTCAGATTTTAGTTCAGTGACATTGTGTGATTGATTGATCTTGAATTTATATGTGCATTTCTGGGTGACAATATGGAAGATTTCTGTTTATACGTCGGAATATACATGTTCTGATGGACATTATACTGTTGTGCTCTAAGTCAGAATAGAACAGTATTCCATGTTGTGCAAGTGCAAAACAAGTACAAAAAACAGTCAACTAGCATTGCAACCTGTCCTTGATGGAATTTGACCTTGTGGCTTGGGACTCTTCCTTACCCAGTCCTGAGTGCTCTCAGACCTGCTCTTCTTACCTGGGTAGATTAAATACACTGTATTTTCTTTGACATCTAACAGTATCATGATTAAAAATCTATTAGTGGTTTCTTTGAAAGATGTTATGGAGGGTTCTCTTCTCACCTGGTCTCATTCACTTGAGTTTGGCTGCTGCTATGTAGGTTGTTGATTTGGTGACCTTTTTAACTGAAGAAAATACTATATTTATTCAGATAATTGTGTTTTTAAGACCCAGGACAGGAAGAATGAATTTTCTCATAGTTAAAGTTTTGGTTTTTTCCTTTTTTGGGGAATAAGGAACCTTTAGGAGTGTTTGTTTGTTATCATTTGAGTTTTAATTTTGTCAGGTTCTGACACATGATGATTTTGCGCATTTGGAACAAAAACTCACATTTTTCTGGGATTTCTTCATACATATTGGCAGTGAAATCTAGTGCTTTTAAAACAATGACTCTTCTTGTTGCAATATAAAGGGAAATATAGCAGTACTACTTCATAATATTTACCATAGTTAAGTAAAGACCGACCAAAGTTTTTCAAATGTCCAGCATTTTAAGCCACTGTTTTGGGATGTCCAAGGTGAAGCTATGTAGTGAATGCCAAAAATAATGAGGGCTTTTAAATTGGTTTAGAACTCCACGTCCAAATATGCCTAGACTTTATGCTACTTTAGATCTCCATTTTGCAATTTAAATTTGTGTCTCCTACCTGTTCAGAGAGGAAAGTAGATGACTGTAAAAGTGCTGCCTGGAATTTAAAAAAAAAAAAAAAAAAAAGCATAGCACAGTAAGAAAAATAGCTCTTTCATATTTGGGAGAGGAAGTCAACCTGAAAATCAGTAAATTTAATTTCGAGTAGTGTTGTGATTGTTGGAATTTCTTCAAAGAGGTGCTAAAGTGCAAATGGACGTTCATATTTTTTTCATGCGCATACTGAAACAATGAAGGAACTTTCTTTTCCTGATTCTAGACCTAAAATATGTGACTTTAACATTTAAAGTTGACCCACTACTTTTGCGGTGCAGAAAGAAATGACACAGCCCCTTCTACCCTGCCCTGGGGGCAGAAAGATGAGATATGCTGCAGTGGCTGCAAAAGGTGGTATGACAGTGCTAGCTCCCAAGGAGATGTATTTGAGCTGACCTATCATGCCTATGGTGTCCCCATATTTCTTTCCTTTCCCCTTTGCCTTTCATTATAAGGTGTCCCAAATCTGTAATTTACAACATGCTGTTCCGGTTTTACTCTGATATATTTGCTACAAATAAGTAGGAGTCTGTGTGCGTCCATAGCTCCCTGTGGCGGTGTCAGGCTTGTGAGATGAGGGGAGCAGAGGCACCCACAGAATGTAACATGGCTTACGTCTCATGTGACATTTATTTGACTCAGAAAGGCAATTGATTAAGGGCCCATCAGACCTTTGCCATCATGTATTATGTATTTATCCAGCAGGGGTGGTTTATAACAGCCCCTGACAAATCCCATTATTTTTGTTGCAGGACTTCGTAATATCAATAAAAAGCATTAATGATACTCAGGGACGTGAAGTGTTAACACCGCTTGTGAAACACTTCCTGCAGCAGTGGCAAAGCCATTTGTCTGTGGCAGAGAACATGTGCCTTCAACATTTGCACAAAAGCACCAGTTTATCATTGTTCTACTTCTGCAGGGCAAGGCACTTTATGTGGAAGCAGCAAGCTGGCTTCATGGTAGGCAGGCATGTGGAAACCCAGAGCTGAAATCCCTCTTAAACAGTGCTTTGCTGTGTGACCATCCATAAGTTGTTTCCTGTCCGCCTGCCTTTGTTTTTTGACATGTAAAATGAGTCACATGCTCTCTTGCTTCCTTGAGTCAGGCTTATTCCACAGCCAGGAAGGTGCTCCTCCATTCCCAAATTAGCAAGCTCCATAGGAGCCCTACAATATTTGTCTTGTTTGTACTGGTTCTCTCCTTTCTCTTTGGAAGTCAGGTCCTTCAGGCCACTGATAGTCTGGGTTATTTTTGGTAACAGAAAAAGTATAATTGGGACATTTTTACTTTAGAAGTTGTTAATGGTACCTCTCAAGCATGTTTCTGTTCTAGAGACAACAGATTTGTTCTGCCCTCTGCCTCAGTGTCTAGCACCTGGGCTCCCTTTTCATATCCCTACCCACAACTTGCTGATGACTTAGTCTTTATCCTCCTCCCCAAGGTTACACAAGTGTATGTCTGATTATATGGCATCAGGGTTTTGGAGGTGGAAGGATTTCGTGGATTTTTCCCCTAAACTATATTCCCACTTCATAGGAACACGATTAATCTCTGCTCCTCTCAAATGTCCTCAGGACTTTGAGAGAAGCAGGTGTATTCTTCAGCAAAAATCATCCTTTTCATGGAAGAAATCTTCCAACCAATCTTGAGCCTTTCACTCATGATGTCAACAGCGTGTAGCAGTATCAACAGTGCTTTACAGTAGGACAGATACTACAGTAGGACACTTCTTTACTTCCAGAGCACTACCCATTCAGATGGAACCCATACAATATTGAAGAGATATCTGCTGTTAGCTTTGGTAAGTGCAAATCAGAAGTGCACCAGCGTGATCCAGATACGAGGAAGTTGCAGGACATGTTAACCTAATTCCATGAACATCTGTGCATTGTTTTGAAATACGTTTCTGATATAACTGAGTTGCTGAGCTCCAGCATCATTCCTATCAGATTCAGCACTGACTGATTCTAATTCCTGTTATTTGACATCCTAGTTTAAAAAGAAAGGGGAGGGAGGAAAAAAAAAAAAGGGGGAAGGAAAAAAGTACAAGAAGTGCCATTTATTCCCCAGCTTCATGAAGACGTATTTGGTCAAGTAATGATGACCTAAGGGAAGCTTAGCAGCATCTTACTGATCTCATCATAATTATGAGAACCATCCATCATATGGTCAGTGATTTGTATGTCAAAAGACACCCAGCAGTATTCCAGCCTGCCAGTTGCCAGTTTCTGAGAATATGTATTCACTTTTTCAGGCATGATGATCCTCAAACAGTCTTTGATATCTATGTATATGTCCCTGCTGTTGGTACTTGTTCACCACCAAACTGTCATCTGTTACCACTCTGAACCATCATCATGAAATAGCAACTAATTAGCACCCTCTGAATCCCTTTATTTGCTTCATGTGTTTAGTGCTGTTTGGCAGATGAGGAACAGCAACAGTGATTGCTACATCAGGAACAGGGAGGAGGCATCTTTTCTCAGGTTTCTTAAGTAGCTCTCCCCTTACTTTGGAGGAGGATAATAACCTCCAGGTCAAGCTTATTCATAAATCAGAAATGAACATTTGCAAAATGCCAAAAAAAGTCTACATGTAATAAGCCTTATGTTTACAACAGCTTTCAAGAGTTAGCATTTTTCAAGAATTATCATAATTAATGTAATAAATAGACATGCAAATTATCCAGAAGAATCAGCTTATCTGCAGCTGAAAATAAGGAGGTTCTGGAAGGGAATGGTCACCTACGCAGCAATCTGAGACAGGAATGGAATATTATTTCCCCAGGTTTTATGTGTCTCCTGAAGGAAGGGAATGTTCCAAAAAAGAAAACAACATGGGCAGAGGCACTTTATTTGGCATTTGCAAATGAGAGAACTGGTGAAACAGCCTTGAAATGGCAATGGAGCTGAAATTCTACTCTGATGTGTTTATAGAAATCAAACTGTATATCTGGGAGTACACCTTGGGATGAATGTTCTGAAAAAGTGACACAACTTTATTATTTTTCTGAAGACAGAGCAATCACATAGAATTAAGCAATAGATGTACATAGAAAAAACCCCTCCTATTTAAATCAAATCTGATAATATTCATGGGTTTGTTCTAAAACATCTGTGATAAAAACAGAGCCGGTATCCAGAAAATCAGAGACATAGCCAGGTTAAAAAAAGGGGGCAAATTTGGTACCAATTTTTCATTCAAGCATTAATTTAAGTGTTGACGTTCAAATAGTTTAGCAGCTAATAATGGCTGCACATAGCTGTGAACTTGATGTGTGGATTACAACAGAAGCATGTCTGCAACCTGCTTTCTAATTGCAATGCCTACAATACATCCACTGAAGCTGGATGAGATTGAATTTAAGATTGGCCAGCATGACAGCTGAAAATGTCACACCTTTCTGCCATTATGCATACTAGCAGTCTCTTTGTTCTGGGTTATTTTTCACTTACTTAGTGTAATATTATGTACTGATTGTTAGTTTTTTTGAAATATTACGAGTACGGCAGAAAAAAAATGGGCTTTAACTAGACAGTTGTAGGAGCGTAATATTCTACATTTAGCTAGAAAAAAGAAGGGGACAGAAAGAAAATGCAGTTGTTCAAAGTGCTTTTACCCTACGCTGGCATAATTTATTATATTTGGATGGAAAAGATCACCTTTCTGAATCAGTAGCAGCATTTCCTACAGCAGTTTGAACACCAACCATCAAAATATTAAGACAGATGAGTTTGTTAGGTCAAAATCACTATGCAAAATGGGAACAACTACAGAGTGTGGCAGAATTTTTCAGAATATTCC